ATATATATATATATATATATATATATATATATATATATATATATATAAATCTACTATAGATAATTAAATATAAGTTAATAGTATTTAAATTCGACGGGTGAATGAAAATATATGAATGTTTATGAATTATCTGAAGAATAATAATAATTAGCGAAGAAACTGTTTAGCATATGTGGATGATATAGTTCTATTAGTTACGTAGATTTACTTTTGTAAGGTACAAAATTCTATTTGAAAACTAGTAACAATATTGAAGTCCTGGTTAATTAGTCAATATAAATTTTGACAATATTGATTTATGAAAACTAGTATTAACTAGTAAAAACTAGTTTTGACAAATCTAGGATTTTAACTTTACTTAACTGTATTATGGTTAATAATTATTGCTGTTAAAACCTTGAAAAAATTATTTATTTATTACATGTGAGTAAAGGGAAGCATTGATAAAAAAAAGTACATACAGCTTATATCTTGTTATTCATTATGTTTTATATCTTTTGAAGTCTAAATACTTATGACTATAATTCTTTAAATTTAAGGTAAAATATAAAAATATATAATGAAACATTCTGAGTGAAATTTACGCAGATAAAATAAATCCGCCATTGAAAAGTAAAATGATATAGGGAAAAATGTATTTTCATATCCCAGAGAAGAACTGAAAATGTCTATAGATTTATTTATTTTTTATTTGTTGTTACTCTCCAAGTTGACCGTAAAAAAATAAACATTTTATCGAGTGAGGACTCTGAAATGAAGAGGGGGAATGGATAGGTGAAGTTAGTCTAGTGAATCTGTCATTTTCAGGGAATTTTTCGATTACATTTATTTTTAAAATAGCATATTTCGTTCCTTTATATAGAATTATAGGTAAGGTACACTAAGGTTTTAGAAAATAGTTTAAATTTTATTTTATTTTTAATCCTTATAATCTATTACTTCTAAAATATCAATTCATTGAAAATATTATTAATGAAATCATCAAAATTTTAAAATGTTATACTAAACATGTTATCAGCATATTCGATTTGTTGTTAATATTGAATTCAACGTCGATAAATTAATTTTAATACTTAAAGTAGGTACATAAAAATAAACTAGGACCTGAAAACACTTGTACATTTATTTTTAATTTCATGACTTATTTCATATATATTTTTATTGCTTTGAAAATATATTAATTGTTAAATAAATAACAATAGTTTCCATAAACAAATTAATATAAACCATATTCAATGAAAATAAAAGTGATTTTTTGTACTTATTCTATTTATTATTTTTTATTAATAAGCTGTAAAGGTAAAATTGATTACATTAATTTAGAATATACCTAAGTATAAGAATGTAATGTAAATGGTATTTTGAAATAAACAGACAAATCTATAATGTTCCTACGTAAATATAGCCAGATAATTATTTTTTTTATAAAATACTAAGGCAGCTTTATATGTTTCTATATTATTCTGATTAATTTTCATGTAAATTATAACTCAGTGAATCAATTTATTAATTAAATTACTTTTCAACTATTTATTTTATAAATGATGGTACACATATCAAACGTATTAATACCGATGATATACTTATAGATATAAATAAAATTAAAAGCAAGGTTAAAACATATTCATACATACATATATAACATTATTTTAAGTAGAAAATTTAACTTTAAGTAAAATATTTTAAA